GATAAGTTTGGAGGACCAAACTTCTTAAGGTGGGAAGACTGTGACGGCCCTAAAATGCATCGTGATTATATTAATTGAATTATGTGTTAATGAATGATTATATCACTTAATTGTGCATATCTGTCCAAATTGGGAAATTATCTATTGTGATTATGGTTAGATATTGAAATTGACGGTCTAAATGGATTCAGAAACTGAAATTGAATACATGGATATGCTAATTAAAATTTTTAGAGTCATTTGGGAAGTTTAATTGAAAATTGATTTTATCTGATTCGTTAAGGTGTACTTAGGTTTCATTATTGTATTAAGCCATTTAGATACTAAAATTGACGGCCTAAATGGATTCAAAAACTGAAATTGAATATATAGATATGCTAATTGGAATTTTTAGAGTCACTTGGAAAGTTTAATTGAAAATTTATTTTGTCTGATTCGCTAAGGTGTGTTTGGGTGGTTTAATTGTAACTTTACACTGCAAATTGAAAGCCTTAGAGGCTTCAAAACTAGAACGGAATACATAATTAGAATCAACATGATTTTTAGGATTTAATATGAAGTTTTATAAAAATCTTATTCATAATTAATTAATTTGATTTAGTTAAATAATATATATATATATATACATCTATGAATATGAGCCTAAACATCCAAATCAATTAATCCATGAAACATCCATTTACATGTAATTCACTCCCAAAACTCAATTAATCATGTTGAAATTTTGGTTGGAAACATCAAATAGAAATCAAACTTGAAATCAACTCCCAAATCTTCTATTTTGAAGAAAGATTAAAACTTTAATGAAATTATAAAACATAAATCATGTGTTGTGAAGCTTCAATTTTAAAACCCATGAAGAAATCCTTTGGCAACTTTAGAAATTCATGAGACTCATGCAATAAATTATTTATAAAACGATAATGTCATGTATATAAACAAGATCAAGCCATGCATGTTGAGTTTTGAGGATTAAATCATCTAATTTCTCATTTTTTTAAAAATATTATATATTCTCAACCCCAATTTCTCTCCATGAATTCTTAATTACTCATGAATTCCCCCTTCAAGTTTGAAAACCATATAAGAAAATAAATGTATGATCATGAAATTCAAGAAAACATGCCATGCATGGTGAATTTGAGAGTTAATTTCCTTCAATTCTTGCCATGTGTGCTTATAAATGCTTTCTAGGGTCAAATACAACACAACCCATCCTTATTCAACTTCAATTCCATGAGATCATGGGTGCATCAACCCTATTTCAAGAAATGAGAAGAAGATTTGCTTAATTTCCCTTCAATTTTCTTTGATTCTTCTTCTCCCTCTCTTCATTCCTCTCTTTCCCGAGCACTCTCCTTTCCTCTCTAGATTTTCTTTCATTCTCTTTCTTCTTGTTGAGTCAAAGAGGCTCATATTCATTCGAGGTGCGCACGGGTCGGTTGTAGCCATGGAACCTCCAATCCGCCATCCGTCCACCAGATTGGCGAATTAGAGAAAATCAATCCGCATCCGTTCGCCAATTCGGCGGATGAGGATTGAACGGTTTGGTGGTTTGGTAGATGGATGTGAATCGGTTTGGCGGTTTAAAATTTTATAAATTTTCAACATAATTAAACTTGTGCACTTCCTCAAAAAAAGAAGAAGAAGAAAGTATTACAATCAATGACTTAAAAAAAATTACATGCACTGCATGCCTCACCCAAAGCAAGAAAGTTTGAAACTTTAGAATATCACAATCACTGCATGCCTCATCCAGATACTACAAGCACAGCATGACTCATCCACATAAAGTATTACAATCTGTGATTCTTAAAATAGAAAAATAATTCAAATCACCAAAACCATGAACAGAGCAGTAGTAGATATTATATGTTTCTGTATTGTTACATCTATATCTGTTTTTGAAAACAAAAACCAACCAGCATATATCATATTTTCTATTTATTATTTTTAGAGATAAATTTAAAAACCAAAAAATATAGATAAATAATACGTTTCTTTTTTTCAATTCAAAAAAGATATTCAAATTGAAAACTTTTTTTCAACAGAATATTTAAACTCTTTTTTAATTGAAAACATAAACAGAATATTTAAACAAACTGAAAACACAAAGTCTTATAAATTACTAGGGATGCTCACGGTTTGGCGGTTCGGTTGCGGCGAAAGGAATCTCAAATCCACCATCTGTCCACCAGATTGGCGGATTGGAGAAAATCTATCCACAACCGTCCGCTCGTCATCACGCATCCGTCCAAAATGTAGCGGATCGGTTCAGTTCGGTCGGTTTTGACGGATCGGTATATCCGTTGCTCACCCCTAATTCATATATATATATATATATATAATATTTAATTAAATCAAATTAATTAATTCTGAATAAGATTTTTATAAAACTTCATATTAAATCTTGAAAATCATGCTGATTGTAATTATGTATTCCGTTCTGGTTTTTGAAGCCTCTAAGGTTTTCAATTTGCAGTGTAAAGTTGCAATTAAACCACCCAAATACACCTTAACGAATCAGAGAAAATAAATTTTCAATTAAACTTTCTAAATGACTCTAAAAATTCCAATTAGCATATCGATATATTCAATTTCAGTTTCTGAATCCATTTAGGCCGTCAATTTCAGTATCTAGATGGCTTAATACAATAATGAAACCCAAACACACCTTAACGAATCAAATAAAATTAATTTTCAATTAAACTTCCCAAATGATTCTAAAAATTCCAATTAGCATATCCATGTATTCAATTTCAGTTTCTGAATCCATTTAGACCGTCAATTTCAGTATCGACAATGCTACGTATCTCAAATTTTGTGGCTCAAAAGTGGCTCAAATGGCCAAAACGACGTCGTTTTGAGTACAGAACAACATAAAAATGGCCAAAACGACGTCGTTTTGGCCATTTGAGCCACTTTTGAGCCACAAAATTTGAGCTACGAGACATTTTCCTTTCAGTATCTAGCCATAATCACAATAGATAATTTCCCAATTTGGACAGATATGCACAATTAAGTGATATAATCATTAATTCACACATAATTCAATTAATATAATCACGAGTTGCATTTTAGGGCCGTTACGACAATAGAATATGAAATACACATCGTCATAGGTTTCAAATTCTCCCATGTTTTACACAAAATGCTAGCTAATTCCTCAAAATTCAATTCACATGAAACATTAATGACAATAGTATCATTCTCATATTTGCACAGTAACAACACTGCATTGTCCATCGAAACTAAAGGAAAAAACAAAAAAAATAATTTGTTCAATATGAAACACTTCACAAAAACAACATAAAAGCCCAAAGAAATTTATAATAATTATAATATTACTTCTGCATTATAATAACAAGTTTATAATTTTCTCTGGATTCAAATAAAAATCCAATCCAGAGACATTTACAAACTTATATTCACCTTCAAGATAACAAAAAAAGTTATAGAAAACTTAATGAATCAAGAGAGAATCACAGAGAAATTTACTGCTTACTATTAAACACAATCATAGACAAAAATCACACAGAAGATCTGTTATGAAATTATAAGCTTCTCTGTGATTTTCACTGAATTACAGACTTACAATTTTCTCTGTGTGATTGTGCAATATTGCACTCATATCAAAATCCACAGAAATTTACAAACTTATATACACCTTCAATATAACAAAAAACATTGCTCTGTCCATGTAAACTGAAAGAAAAAACAAAAAAAAAATATTTTTGCTCAGAGAAACAAAAACTTATATTCACTTTGAACTACAAACTTATAATTTTTTCTGAACTACAAACTGAAAGTGAACAACAAACTTATAATTTTCTCTGAACTACAAATACAAGTCCAAAGAAATTTAAGAACTTATATTCACTTTTAAGATCAGAAGAACAAAAACACATTAACATCAAATTGACAAAAATGCGAACAATTCCATACAAACGCGGAGAAACTCATAGAGAAGATCTATTATGCTCACAAAACATTCAATTGAGAAAAATAAGAAATAAAAAATAACAAACTTATAATAACATGTCCATAACAAATTACAATTTTCTCTGCGATTTTCACTGGACTACAAAATTATAATTTTCTCTGTGATTTTTGTTGAATTATAATAACAAACTTACAATTTTCTCTAGACTATACCAACAAAAGTGCAGAAAAAACAGAGAACAAAACTTATAGAACAATAAATGATAAGAAATTTACACTTATCTCTGGTTTAAAAAAATGGAGAACAAAACTTATCATTAATAAGTATGTTGATGAGAAACAGAGTACGAAAAATGAACTCTAAACATCAAAACCTACTCCACTGTCAATTCTTTTTGAAATTGATCAAAAAACAGAGAATGAAAAATGAACTCCAAAAATCAAAATCAAAATCAACTCTATCAAGTTGGTCTCTCTCTAAAATTAATCAATAACAGAGAATGAAAAATCAACTCCAAATATCATAAATAACTTCACTGAGCTACCCTTTCTTTTAAATTGATCAAAACTGAAAACAAAAACCTAATGCAAAAATACTCTCGAAAACTAACATGAAATCGTAATCCTTACATAAAATTCAAAATAAAAATCGAAATTCATGAGGAATCTCCATCGAAAACATATTTGATTCAACTCCACTAAAAAACCTACACGATCAACACACTGTAACACCTACACGATCGTAGCAATCTCTATCGTTAAGTCCACAGCAACACTTGCAAAATCTCTACGAAATCTCCACCGCGAATTCAGTTTCCAAACTCTCCACCGTGAAGTCAGCAAAAGAATATTCAGTTTGCCAAAATCCAAACAAACTTATTATGTTATAAAGAAGAGTAAATTAGGTATTTTATAACATAAAATAAGATTAAGAGATTTTAGCCATCAAAACATATTATTGCGGATCTCTCCCCCAAAAGTTGAGAAGGGATCTTACCAATTTTTCCTAAATTTTATTGCACGCCCTAAATAATTCCAAATACTACCTTTATCTACTTCGGCCAAGATTTTATTGCGGACCTCTCATACTTCTGACACTGTTCAATTTACCTAAATCTAGATAGCTATTGGCTACAATTCGCCTAAGCCTAGATAGCTATCGCCTAGATGATTGACTTCAAAAAGAGTAAAACCTGAGACATCGAGTACAATACCAAGCTACTTTCACAAACCAAGCCCGTTAAACTAGTTTGAATATGCTTTGGAGGGACAACAGAAATAATACTTATGCAGCTAGAATAGAAGGTTTTCTTGTTTTGGCAAAAGCACCAAATTGCCGCATCTTAGTAGTTCCCTAAACAAATACTACCATGATTGTTTACTTCTTCTATTGTATAAAAGCACATACGAGTTCTTCTTCTACCTCTGTGTTTTGCATTGTAAGCTCTATCTCTCTCTCTACAATGGATAAAGAGTACTCAAGCCCAACTCTTTATGAGATCAATGTTGATCAAAACGGTAAGCAACTGATTTTGCCATCTGGGTACAGGTTTAGCCCTCTTGACTCAGAGCTTGTGGTTCACTACTTGAAGAAGAAGATACTCAATCAAGAGCTTCCTGCTAATATTATTACCACCATTGATGTCTACTCTTATGACTTCCCAGATCAGCTTCCTCTTAGTAAGTGTTGTTCTGTATTCTGTTTTGATTGGCTTATGATTTCCAACCTTAAAAGTCACAATTCAATATTGTGGAGTTAGTCTTTGTAAGCGTACCAGTGGCGACTGTAACCTATTAAATAAATTCACAAGAACGGTCGAGTTGCTACTCATGATTTTGATTAGTATTATGGTGTTTTATTATGGATCTTTTTGGCGTAATTTCTTGTAAGTTGAAATTCATAGTTGTTGAGTCGCTACTTATGATGGTGATTTGTTTGGTGTAATTTTCTTGTAAGTTGAAAATTAATAATGAGAAACATAAGCTAAAAGCATGCCTTTTCATACTTCTTAATAATTAATTTTTTTTTCTAGTTTATTTAAGCAATCTTTTTATTTTTATTTTTTATTGTAATTTTTTTTAACTTTTTTTCGAAGAAAAATTGAATATGGATTATTGGTTTTGAAAAATAGTTTGTAAATTGCTCCATATTCAATTGTTTGGATTTTGGAATGGTGAAAATAGGAAAGTGTCAGAAATCCAAACACAACTTAGAGGGCAACCTATGAGATGGTTGTGATAGAATATTTTTTTTGTTTAATTCTATCAAAACTTTTGTATCAGAGCTTGAATATTTTAACTTTGAAAAACAGTTTAAAAATGTGCTTAGGTTGTAGCTCAACTTTAAATTGTTTCATATTCAATTGAATACGTATATTGTTTTAGATTTGAAGAAGCTATACATTGAATTTGCTAACATATATTGTGTACTCGAAACATATTTATGCAATAATGCTGAGAATTTCCCAACTCTTGAATTTTTTTTATTTTTTATTTTTTTCACGCCATTATAACATGAAAATACACATTCATGTTTTTACATAATCTAACATATAGCGATCGAGCAATGATGTTACAGGTGAATTCAAGTATGGGTTGACAAATGAGTGGTATTTCTTCACCACAAGATCACCACATAATCTCCTCCTCGCAAGCAATGGCGGTGGTTGGATTGAATTGTCTGACGAAACAGTACTTGACAATGATGAAGTTGTCGGATACAAGCGAAGGTTGGCTTTCTATTTTGCAAAGCCACTTCAAGAGATGAAGACTGACTGGTTCATATATGAATATAGAGTCAACCTTACTAGTTTTGCCCTGATGAACTTCTTGACGACACCATTAAAGAGAAGGTGAAAATTTATTAAAACTTGAAAACTTGACCACCCAATGAATAAAATTTATCCTTTATAAGGAATTTTTTTTTTTTTTTTTTGAGTAAACCTTTTGTAGACAATAAGATTCCTAACAATGTATTATCCTTGTCTTCTCTTAGATATCAAGCTTTGTGGTGTGTAAAGTTTGTTACAAAGAGAAAGATCCTAGCATGACATCAAGTGATGGCATCACTGATTCGAGCCAAGGAAAAGACAAAGTAGAAATACTGAATCCTCAGTACACACAAAACAATGAATATTCTATTTTTCTTCAAATTCAAGGTTCAGACACAATTAAAAAAAGATTAAAACACGGTTAATGTCCAAATAGTTAGAAGGCTATTTTTGTTTTCCTTATTGAACATTAGTTTTGCTATTTTTTAACTTTTTTTTAGATGGAAAAAGTCCAAAGTTAGGAAATATGCAGCTTGGTTGCATTTTTTTGAAATTTTTTTTTGAAAAAATGATTTGAAAACTGTTTTTTGAAAAAAAATCCTTGTTTGGTTTTCCAAAAAATACATCATTAAAATGTCAAATTTCCCTCCAAGTTAATGGTTGAAACAATTAAAAAAACATAAAAAATTCACATCAAAACATTCTCTCAGGTACATTATATATATATGTATACATGCTTGATTTTATGAAAATATAATGTGACATGTACTAATTTATGGATATATATCTTACCATTAACTGTATCACTTTTTTATAAAATTTCCACTAATTGCAACCATAGAAAAGTGATTTTTTTTTCTAAATTGGCATTCCAAAATTTATTTCGTATAATCAAATTTTCATAAATGTTATGCACAAAATGAAATCATAAATTTGTATTCACAAAATCGTACGTTTGGCAAATTTATGTACAAAATTTTCAGAATAACCAAAATTTATTTACAAATTTGCTTAAATGGTAAATTTATACAAATTTCCAAAAAACATAAATTTATACAAGTTTCCAAAACACACAGGTGAATTTATGTTCAAATTTCCGGAAACCGCAATTTCAGAAAAACGCCCAATTATTTCAAATTGGCATTAAAAAAAAAATGTGAATCGATGTGTAAATTTGTTTATGAAATCATAAATTTTTTTACAAATTTACGATTTAAAACATCATATATTTATGTTTATATTTATTTTCGAAATCGTAGAATTTCCATGAAATTTAAATAAAAAGTCAAATTGAAAAATAGTTCTAGGTTGTCTGTGTAAATAATAAAAAACAAAAAATGTACCTATATGTAAATAGGGCTGCAAACGAACCGAGCCGAGCCGAGCTTTGCTGATCTCGAGCTCGGCTCGTTTACTTATTGAGCTTGTTTATTGAGCTCGAGCTCGGCTCGATAAGGAACTGGGCTCGAGCTCGGCTCGGCTCGGCTCGTTAATTTTAATAAAACTCGAGTTCAGCTCGGCTCGGCTCGATAAATTTTTTTTAATATTATTTATATTATTTAAATATAAATATTTAAATAAAAAATATTATTTATATTATTTAATATATAAATAATGTATTTATATTATTATTTTTATATATTTTTAATATATAAATAATGTATTTATATATATATATATATATTTATATATCATTTAATATATAAATAATATATTTATTATATAATTTAAATAAAGATAAACGAGCCGAGCTTATGCGAGCTCGAGCTTGGCTCGTTTACTAAACGAGTCGAGTTTGTTCATGAACAATTCGGTTCATTTGTAGCCCTAATCAGAGCCGAGCCGAGCCGAACTTGTTCACGAATAGCTCGGTTCATTTGCAGCCCTATATGTAAAGGTAATAAAGAGGCAAGGCAGAGGCTACAAGTAGATTGTACTAAAGCCTAGGCTATTCACATCACGTGAGGAATCAGATCTTACATATTTTTTTTTTGAAAACATAACTCATTTTTCAGAATAACCAAACAAGTTGTATAAAATTTTCTAAAAACCGTGTTCAAAAAACCACAACCAAACACAATGTAATTTTTCTATTTATTTAAACAGTATCTTTTAATATAAAAAAATTGTTTTGTTTAGATGCAAGTTCCAGACCGTTAATAGTGTACGAATGCCACATATTCAGTACAATCCTAGAGGAAGAATCTGACCAGTTGCCATTTTTTGTTTTTGGGCAATTTGGGCCAACCATAAATTTGCCGTTAATGTTCCTAGCGACACAAATTTGAGTCGCAAAAACAATCCCTCCATAAATGGAGGCAAGACACATCAGTGCCACATGGGCTCCATGTAAAAGTGAGGCTTTTTTATTTTTTGTTATTTTGTTCAAATACCAAACTTGAGCAGAGGATTGAATCAAATTGAAACCAATAGCAAGTATAAAATCCAGTTTGTTGTAATTGAAACTTTATAAACATGCAAGGTACAAGAACCAAACAAGAAGCTGTGCTATTTCCGAGAATTTCCCTATCTAAACATGCAAATATAATTCATAAAATCTCATGTAGAAACAAAATGAAATCGAAAACACAACCAAATCAACACATCTTGTTATTCCACTAGTGTTGCATGAAGCCCTCCCAAATGTTTTTTTACCATCACTACTGTTTTCTTTTATTCCATGTGCACCAATAAAAGTTCCAGCAGTTGCAAACCATGCACTATATAAGTTGCAGTCTGATATGTGTATATATATGTATATTCTATAAGAGTGTATTAACAACGTGGAAGGGACAATCAGCCACGAAAAGATTAGTTGGATGGCAAAAGCCTTCTTCAAAAAATAACCCAGCAATTATGTTTCATAAAAGCAAAACACCAACATTCAGATTCCAGACAAAGTGCAAAACTACAAGACACACTGATTCAGCAACCATAGATGACTTCCACCACCTAGAACTAAGTGGAATGCCACCGTTACATTATATATGCATAGGGAGGCAACTACTACACACTTTCAATATAGAACCTAGAGAGCAGAGTGATGCCATGTACTCTGCACTTCATACCATTTTCTTTCCAAATAAAAAAAAAACCCATCTAAAGATTCTCTGAGAAACAGTCGGAGAACAGGGGACTAGCATATCAATGCGCCAATTTCTTGAGGTGTTGAAATGTCCTCTGCTTAATCCACTGACGGTCACATGGTAGGTAAGCCTGAATCGAGTGGTCATAACTGCAATCCAGAATGAATAAAAATAAAGGTGTTAATTATATCATCCCACAGAGGCATTGTGATGCCTTTCTTGTCCCCATGCATGTGTCGTGTGTGTTTGTGGAAGCCAAATCAAGAGTGTAAACAGGAAAATAATGATGTATCTCAAAAAAGAAGATACCCTGATCAAGATTGTAAACTAGTTGGGACTGAAGGGAGTATTGCAATATAAATTTCACTACGCATGCAGGAATTGGCAACTGGCCCTTCCCCCCAATCCTGGTCAGAGTCTTGAGCAAGAGATCATGCTAATAATAGGGAGCGCTAGTTATATTCTTGAAGGTCATGTTCGGCAGAGTTTTTTTTTTTTTAATTAAAAAAAGCTCTATTCTTTAAGTTGCAAAAAACACCCACTTTGCATTGATTTTTTTTTTTTGGTGTGCTTTTGTGTGTGTGTGTGTGTGTGTGAGAGAGAGAGAGAGAGAGAGAGAAAGAGAGAGAGAGAGAGAGAGAGAGAGAGAGAGATACACTAGTGCACTCATGTCAGCAAGGCCATCAATGAAATTGTAGAGATCTGCAATATCATAAGTAATGTTTCTGATGGCTGGATTTAGCTCCTTAAGTTTCCTTTCATAAAGTCCACAAATACCTGTACATGGCCAGCAATACAATCACCTCTAATGAAACACATAATAGTGCATCAAAAAATAAATAAAGAAAACAAAGGTTGCATTCAGGACAAAGTTATGGAAGCCATTCATTAATTTGTAAACCAAACTATCCAGCAAAATATAGACATTGGTACTTAACAAAAAAAATGTATGATCATTTAGTCCAAATTATTTTCCTAACTGACCAATTAAAGCGCACCCTTAACTCGAAAGAACACTTAAAATCACAAGTGCAAGTAACATTATCAAAAGATAAAGATAAAACTAAATCATTTCTATTACTTCCATCTCTATCCTTCGCTCTAGCTACTTTTGTCCCATAATAAAAGCACATTAAGACTGCAAGTTCAGACAGGCAATCATAACTTCATAAGCATGTCATTTCCATTAATAGTCTGAGTAGGTTGTTTAGTGAAGTTGAGTTTTTGGATGTATGTCCTCACCATAGGTAAACATTTATAAGTAACCACATTTATACCTACAACACTGGGATTAGTATAGATATACATATCAAATGCTAGGTGACAACTGACAAGTGTCCAAATAGGGTATGTTAGATTAGGTGATATCAAATGTAAGGACATATTTAAAGATCATTTCAACTTTAGTTTTCCATCTGCTTTATCAGGTGCCCCCAAAAAGCTCTGTGTTTCCAAGATATGGCATTAGCTTTCAAATTCCAATGGAAATAAGTGTGAATTTTCTAATAGCTTATAAGCTCTCTATGGGATAGCATGATTCAATACTAACCCTAGTATGATGCTTGTATGGGAATCCAAGTATGATGTCTAGCTTCTTTTTGTAATTCCTTTTTTCCCTTTATTTTTGGCACTCAAAGAGCCTTTAAAAGCCCAAAACAAGGTTTAGCCAAACTTTATTAGAGGTGTCCATTAAAACCCCATGGGACAAGCCAAATTGATGTCTCTCAATCACTCAATCATAACACTTGAACACCAAAAAGTGTTGTTCATAAGTACTCTTCAAAGCACCCAAAACTGCCTGGAACTCTCTCTTTGCCTGGTGTTAACTCCAACCTATTACTCCTTTCTTATATCTACAAAGCCTTAAAATTCATAACTTTGCTCACCATCAATGACGAAATTTAGCATAATTACCTTCAGAGAATCCCTTCTTGCCACAGCCTTGTATCGATTTTGGTTTCCAAGCTTGTACAAGGGTTTTCTCTGAAGAGATGGAGCATGAGGAATAGCAAAAACAATACGAAGAGGAGGTGGCAATGGTTTTAATAATGGAAATTCTAGTACAAAACATACTTCACCCCTAGTTATGAACTTATGACTCATGATATGAGACATATCTTAGCCGCCCCTAAAGTTTAAGAAATTAACAACGTTGTTCAATTAGTCAGATCTATTCAACCATTCAAATCTTGGATCATCAAAGGGATATATATACTTGTAAATTTGCATTGACAGAGGTAACATCGACAATGTGGTTTTCACATCCAAAGTAGGGCAAAACTACCAACTAGCTACATCCTAAACCATCTTAAATGGCACTGTCAACAGCACTTCTATCCAGCTAACAAAGTAACACATTGGTTTCTTTTTCTCATTGTCATTATAATGATGCATGTCCCTGTGGTGTTATTATTGTGACTTACACACCTCCGCAAGGAAAGAGCCAACTCCAACTGAACATCACCACACCATCTATAGCTCCAGAATCTAACATTTTCCCATTTCTCATTACACATTGAATATGGCTGGAAAAAGACCATTCTCCATTACTTCTCCCTTTCACAAGCAAACTTCCATAACCACCTCCGCAAAAGACCTTGAATAAAAATGACAAACTTTTGAAAACCCAGGGCCTCCTCCCTCAACAACGGGGTACAGACTCTGTCAAATCCACCAAATGATAATTAAATTGCTCCCCCACCCCCTCCCCAAAAACAACCATACATCCAACAAAACCAGCGCGTAAATTCGTGGTCATCAAATTAATGAAATGCCAGGGCAGATATGGCACATAAAACCCTTGAAGTCCTATCATCACAAAGTAAAGGTATTTAGAGGGGGATACAGAGATAAAGAGAAAAAGAAGGAGGGGGGCGAAACCAGAACAAAAAGTAAGAAATAAGTGACCCGTTTGTTCTGTTGTCAAGCTGGGAAGCACCAAAACGTGAAGAAAATGGAAATTTGGCTCATAGCATCTATACTCTAGAATCTGTGTATTGTAGTCCATTACAAAACCACCAGGAATTCTTAATGGCAGCCCTCAAGCTACTAAATTCACAAAGTTCATAATTACTATCAAACCAATTAAAATTTCACAAAAGCCAAATCAGTAACATGTGTGATTTCAAAACTGATTCCATTTACGAACAATGATAGTGTAAAATATACCATCCATTGCCTGGCTTATTGAATCATAATCCATAAAAGTTCTGGTTGCTCTGCTTTGAGAAGTTTGCATCAGGATAATGGTGTGCTTGTTTGCCTACAAATCAACACATGAAAAAGGTGAAAGCAAATTAAGATTCAAGGTGAAATCAAAAACAAAAAATCTAGTAAAATGCTTCTTTCTTTTTCCTTTTTTTGAGGGTATAATTATGTCTGCCTTGCAGAAGGTTGAGGCAAAATTTTTGATTGGGTTTTCCTACTGGTGAATGGTGATGACAATTCACTTTATCAATAAGCGGGTTTAATGGCGATTGAACAATTTAGTCATGGATTATCATAAAGTTGTTATCTGATGGTGTTTGTGAATTATCATTTCTCAAATATTGAAAGAACAAATGAAAATGATGATGGAATAATTACGTGTGTACATGTGTTTCTATTGCCGTGCATGCGTCCTATTACCAATAATTTATCAAATTGATATGATAGAGTCATGTCGTATTCCTGTCCCCTAACCATTTCCATTAGACGCCTACACATTTTTCTAATCATTGTATAAACATGAACTCAACTACATATATATAGTTGAAAATGAAATTGCACTTGGTGACAACTTACAAGGCTCATTTCCGAAAACAAAAACCCTTAACTACCAATAAGCCATCTCCACTGAAGATCAATTTGACATGATAACTTTTATTCATTTAAATTCAACATCTTCCTCTCAAAACAGTCCAAATTGCACAAAAAACCCTATTTTGCAGACCAGAACCTCCATGTGGAATATGTAAATTAAATACACACAAAGGCTCAAATTACTGAAATAAAGAAAGAAATAAGGGCGTTTTGAATAAAGAATCAGATAAAGCATGTGCTTCTTCTGAAACTTTAAAGACCCAGAAACTAAAAATCCTTTCTTGATGTTTGGGGCTGTCAATCTTTTCATTGAGGCCTAATTCCATGACAAACCCTTGTGTGTGTGTGCAACTATATAGCCCTATACAAACAGTAACAAAACCCTACTTTCTGTAAGTAGTGATTTCAATAATAATAACTGTACCCATATATATAGAGAGAGATATATGTATATATATATAGAGAGAGAGAGAGAGCGAGAGAGCGAGAGTTACCATGCGATGAAGCCGATGATCAGAGCGGTGCGAATTTGTTGTAGCAGAGTTTCGAGGTCGAGATTGCAGTGTGTTTTCCTGGGTATCTTCTCTTTGATGCAAGGTCGAGGGGTGTTCCTATTTACACCCCTATTTTCTCTCAACACCCACCGAATAATGTTACCCTACCCACTTCAATAATTTTTATTTTTATTTTTTTTTTAACGGCTACCAACGTCTGATCAAAAGTGCTTTTCAAATGAATAGTTGTTTAGAATGTATCATATTAGAATGTATCATATTAGTGTATTTTTTAATTTTTTTGATTAAAAAAATAAAGAAAAAAAATATATATGTAAGATAATTTTTTGACTTTTTATGAAAAGATATGTAATAAAATATTGTAGTAAAGTCAAAAATAACAATTTTACCCTTTTAACTTTTTGAATTTTTTGATAGTTGAATTCTGACTTTCCTCACAAGTTATCTTTGAATAGTACAAATTTTTTAATTTTGTTAGTGACTTTTTGACTTTTTTAATTTATTCCAAACAATCACAAGGCCTTGTCTGTTTAGGGAGTTGGAGTTTGGATTGAGATTAATATGGGGTGAGATTGACTATATGTTTGTTTGTTTTGAGAGATTGAGAGGGGATTTCTAATCCTTTGGTATTAGGATTAGACTTAGAATGAGAATTGAGATAGAGGTGCTATTAGAAAAATAATCCGTCGGACTATTTTTTTTATTTTTTATCTTTATTTTTTACATGTTGGACATTTTTTTTTGAACATTAATGTTTAATTTTTTGTATTTTTTGTTAAATAAAAATCATTAATTTATTTGTTTTTATTTTTTTATTATTTTTATTTTTTACATGTTGGGTATTTTTTTGGAACATTAATGTTTAATGTTTTTGTATTTTTTTGTGTTATTATTTTGTATAAAAATAATTTAACAATCCCTACTTTAACAACTATTATCAAAATAAACACAATTTTACTTAATCTCTTCACTATCAATCCCCTCACTAACAATTCTCTCACTATTAATCCCCTCACTATGAATTTCATCTATTCTGCGTCTGAAAACAAACGGGGCCCAAGAGTGGTGGATTAGTGGGAAGACATCCTTCTTCATAGACGTGACTTAGGTTTGAATTTGAGGGAGATGAATTTATTATTTTACAGTTCGTTTTTTATGGAGATCTTATTCTGTACTCTGATCAAAATTTGAACTCGTCTGTAACATGTGATTGTGCTCCATTAGTGCCTCGGTGGTAGGTTCTGGCCCTACAAATGTAGTAATAACATCTCAGAGTATCTTTTTTTACGAGTTAAAAAAAAAGTTCCTAAATTGAGTTAGATGTAAATGAGGCAATTGATAAATAATTAAATAAGATATGAGATAGATTTATCTTAAGATATTTTAAATGATTATCACATTATTATGTTGTATATTAATTATTAATAAAATTAATAATCTTCATATTTTTTTTTCTCACATTAAAATCAAAAAGAATATATGTACTTTTACTTTTTGATAAAATTTAATTTTCCATTTTTCTTCCATGCACTTTTATTTAGCTTGATTTTCACGTTGAGATGTTGAGCAAATTGTTGAGTTCTTATCTCTTAATAGAGAATAACTTTTCTGGTTATTGTTTGATTTGTGATTTGAGATATTAGTTTAGGGTAAATTATAAATAATTTTTTTGAGATTTAATTAAAATATGAATCTCTCTCTGTAGTTGGGAAAATTACATTTCACTCTTGAAGTTTCTAATTTCATAATAAATCATCTATTTTATTAATAAATCATCAAGTCAATTAACAGTTTTTAATGATGTTAGAAATATGTTTCAATTAATAATTTAGGTAATTTATTATTATATAGGAGAAAAATTATGAATTTTATTTTTTTAGTTAATTTTGTTAAATAAAAAATTCTAACAAGGTGGTATTTTGTAATTTTTTAAATCACATGAGGCAATCTGTACTTTAAGCAAACTTCAAGAGTGTATTTGTAACGTATCCATTATTTTAAAAATAATTTTTTTAAAGAGAGTTTAAAAAAAATTAAAAATTATTTAGTTATATATTTTAATTCGTTTGGGAACAGGCTAATTTAGTAATTTTTTGGCTATTTGGCTAAAATATGGGCTAAAAAAACTAGTATGTTTGGGATGAATTTTTAGATTTTTACGAAAAGATGTGCAAAAAGTAGAGAGAAAAGAGAATCTTTGACTTTTTGGTATGAGTTGTTGGCTTTTTGGCTAATTTAGTAATTTTTTGGCTTTTTAGCTAAAATGGAGGGTTCCCAAACGAGGCCTAAATATAGTTTTTGAGTTTTTGATTGTTTGATAATTTTTTTATAGTTGAATAGATAGGTATGAGAGAAAGAATAATTAATTTATTGATGTGTAATAGAGAGAGAAAAAAAAAATATTGATTATTTTCTTATTTTCAACCAAACATATTTTTAAAAAATTTCTCTAAAAATATATTTTTAAAGACAAACTAAACATATCCGATGTAAGAGCATCCATATCAAACTAGCTAAACTCATTTTTTAGCTAGATTAGTGATATTGTTCATCAAAAATGGTCTGCATTAGTCTCGCTACTGTTCATCGTTAATATACGAGTGCTACAGTACCTCGCTATAACAAGCGAGGTACTGTTCATCACTAGTTGTGTGTTACCAAACGTCCACTCAAAAGTCCGACAAGTCAACCCGCCGATCAACCGATCAACGCCAATTTATTTATTTATTTTTTTTTACATTTCCTCCAGTTTTACCTTTTGTAAAATATAAGAATTGTTTGGTTCATAACTCATTAATTTAATTATAAAAAAAATAACAAATATGTTAATAAGATTTAGTTAAAATAAAGAGTTTGATATAGTAGAGTGATTAGCTAAAATAGAAAAATAAAATTTTAAATTATAATTTGACTAGAATTTTGTGAAGACTAATATTAATGCTCTAAAGTTGATCTCGTTAAAGTTTGAGACATGTTAACAGTTGATACAGATAGAGGATGAACTTCGTAGATAAGGCCACTATCCAATGCTTCCACCCTAAAAATGTTATAGGCCTCTAATGAATTATTAAATATTTTAAAAAATATTAAAGACTTTAATGAATTATTAAATATTATTCATAAATTAATAATTACTCTGACGTCCCTAAAATTACTTAGATTTCAATCCGGTTTGTGTTTGCTTTGGTTTCCAGAATCAATTTTGAAAGTTAATTTGTTCGTAAATGGTTTTAAAATTTTATTTGATTGTATATTTTCAAAATTGTTTTTACAAATTTAGAGTTTTATAGTTTGGGATGATTTGTGTGGGACATATTTTGTGAATGACAACACGTGGCTAAGATGGCACCGGAGTGTCAGCCGAGGTGCCACGTGTCTTGGTCATGTGCCCGAGGTGATCTCGGATAAGTCGAGGTTATCTGCAGAGATACCGAAATCCGAGACGAGTGGATAAGGGACAAGAGTCCTAGAATGGGGGAGGACCTCAGTCTGAATAAAGATAAAGCTCTTAAGGAGTTTATCTTTATCTGACTGGGAGTCCAAGATGAGCATTGAGCCAGAGTCCATTAAAGCTAGGCTTCTATAGGGATCAGGTTAGTGCTGGCTATAAAAGTAAGACACTCTCGTGGGTCTAAGGTACGCTTTTTGTATTCTAACTAGTGAATTAAACACTATTTGCTATCTTTGAGAGATAACGGAGTACTGAGTCTTTTCTTTCTATGACAGGTTGTTCGGGCGTAATCTGTTCTGCCTATGCTCTCCAGTTGGGTATATGTTTGGCAATGTGGTCTGAAATCAACACCCACAATTTGGCGCCGTTTGTGGGAAGCGTGAGGAGAACAGATGGCCAATGACGGGCAGAAAGAAAAGATTGGGGGGGACATCCCTAATAGGAATGGTAAAAACGCTGATCCTAACATAGAGGAGGACAATTGTAACGAAGAACCTCGGGATAATAATCCCTAAGAAAAAGACGTCGGCCAAGAGGGAGACGTACCGAAGAAAGCATGTCAAGGCAGGTATTACAACGAAAGCGACCTTCAGGTATGGAAAAATATATGCCTGAGGAGGGACGGCGAGATGTAGAAGATGGCAAACAAATTGACAGACCTGTAATCGGTTGTCAATTTCATGATGCAGAACAACGTCATGCAGCCATCGTTCCCATTGGAGGACACGTTGATTCCAGCAGCCAAGAATGATGCCCAGAAAGGGGGGACATAAAGCAATCCCCGTAGTCCCTTAGCATAATAGGGCAAAGAAGCATTCGTATCGGCCTTCACGGGATGTCGGGCGAGTAGAATCGATTAGAGGAGAGTCTTAGAGGACATATCGTGCCAAATAAACCTACATCAAAGAACATCGGCATATTAAAGGGAAGAAGCTTTGTTTTGACACGATGAATGAAGGGAGCCAAGAGAACTTATAACGACACAGGGAACAGCGTACCAAAAAGGCTAAAATCCGTTGACAGCAGAGCTCCTGGATGGACTAAGGAAGATTTGAGGGATTATCTGCAGAGAAAGTGACAAGATACTGAGGTAACATCTTCGGTCAAGCCAAGAATGCCGTTCTCTGTAGAATTGGACAAGTTTGAGGCCCCGAAAAGGTTTCACATGTCAAGATTCTAGATATACGACGGTAAATCTGATCCAAACTTTCATGTCGGCTTATATTTGAACTCGATGGCATTGTATATCGGGAACGAGCTGCAAGGTGCTTCCTTTATCCTTTGGAGAAATCGCATCAGATTGGTTTCACAAGTTGCCTAAAGGAATTGTGAAAAGTTGGGAAGGCCTAGCCGAGATGTTTGTGGCCAAGTTTGTTATAAACAAACTGTAGCCGTTGAAAGTAGACTCCTTGATGGCTTTAAGAATTGGCGAGGATGAAAGCCTCAAGGCTTATGCCAAAAGGTATTATGAGGTGTTTAACCGAATACCAGGGTGCAACTAAAAGGTGGCGGTCGTATCTTTTAAGAACGGCCTGAACGACGACTGTCTGTTTCGAAAGTCACTGGCAAAGACACTGCCAAAAAGCATGGAGGAATTTATGGCGAGAATCGAGAAATATGTGAGAGCGGAGAAAGACATACTAGGAACAAAGGCATCAAAGCAAGAAAAGAGGAACGTCTC